GCAACATGCAACAGTAAAATTAGGTAACAAGAGTCAGGTCTTCAACCAAAGTTGCATTATAAAAGTTCGGATGAGGAAGACTGAAGAATATAAATTGCGGTTAAAAGAGACGTGAATAAAGGTTAAACTACGAGACAGGGGAAAGAAACAAGTTAATGACAATACTGTTCAAGACAATGCTATGGATGTCTTTTTCAGCTTTTTATTTCGGTTGCGAACATTATACAGAATTCATAAGACGGATTTCCCTACAATGTTGTAGATGGAGAATGGACAGTTTGCAGATTCATGCCAGGTGAAGACCGGTATTAGTCTGGGTTACAAAAACCCTATAGAATCTGTTGCGGGCTAATACAAATATGAAAGTATTTTTACCCAGCTAACACTTCAAAAACGTATATAAAGAATACGTTAACAACAGGCAGAAACTAATAAATACAAAATGTATGGTTTACTTGTTACTGTCAGCATTGTGCATGGTCATAAGTCTAAATATACATCCACTATTGTGATGATGTGGGGGAAATAATCCCAAGGGATGTTAGATATAGATCCAAAGTTTTCGTGTTCAATTGATGGAGGAAATGCTGATCGATTTGAGCAATTATGACGCCGAAAAATCTATTCACGTGCATTTAGTTTGATGTTTGTACGACACATTTTGAAAAGACAGAACATTTCATTGACCCTTTTGTGATTTAGTGAGGTTTTATGCATGCACCGTTGACCTTGAGACTATGTTTTTCAAGCTGAGTGCTGTCTCACTAGTTTTGACCAGCTCGTTTGTTTTTGCATTCCAACAGTAATGATTTGTCTGAGAGGAGGATCAAGATGAACTGTCGATAATAGCTAACAAGACGAAGATGCACGTAACACATAAAATATTCCAAAGTGCTCTGTTCTGTATTTTATAGTTTCAGAATACCGTGAATTTCTGTGGTATCTCCGAGGAAGTTCAGCGAATTGGATATTACTTCAGACTTTGTGTGCTAATAGTCCATTAAGTGCAGAATCGAAATAATGGTTGATTTTCACCCCACTGTCAATCACAAAGCCTTGAACGTTTGTAATTGCAATACGAATTCAAGACATATAAAAGCACGGGTGGAGGGAGGGAAAAGTTACAGACCAGAAGGCATTAATGATGAGGACGATGCCTTGAATTCACCCATCTTTGTGAGGCGGAACATTTCGTTTGTTTCAGGCTCGTAATGATTAAAGACAAGGCAATCAATCAGTAATACTGAGTTTGTTCCCCTATGCTTATCACTCAGACTCATATTTCCAATTTTGTGTTGAAATCACTGTCCTACTAAGATAATCGATAACATGCTAACATAGAATTTCACATTATGACTTAGTTGCTGGCATCAGATGAAAAAAGAGAACTTAGAAAAGCTTAGAATATACGATATTGTTATTAGAGTCTCTTAGCACTACACCCTTTTTATACATTTTTCATTCTGATAGACAAACCTTCCTTATGCTTACTTCTACTTCCCTTTCATCTTTTGAACCCATTCCACCTTGTTAGATATCATGACACATTGTTCTCTGCCAAATTTATTCTCTTATCTGAAGGCTATAACAACACCTCACTTTGGCTAGTATGGGTTTTATCTACCAATTTATCATACGGTTTTATGCTCCACTACAAATTGATAAAGATTGTTTGGGGTTTATATTCAAATGCCTTAGTACTTCTTTGTCTCCCTTTTCAGCATTACGCCCTCAAATCCCAGCTATGAAGCTCCTCACGTTTGAAATAAACGTAACGTACGCGTTTTCCAGGGTCCTAATTCATACCAAGCACTCTTAGTATTTACTTCACTACAAATTCAAACTTCTTGGAAGTGGTATTGCATAAATACTTAGCATCACCAGAGTTCTGAAACGACTTCGAGTTTGAACCTGATGTACGGAATAAGCGCGATGCCATTTTCGAAACGAATTATAAAAACTGCACTCACAGTGCAATACTAAAACATAAACTTTATCATCAACTCTGTGGGGCATCTGCATGAATGTGCTGTCTTTTATCTTTATTAATTTTATTTATTTAACAACCCTACATAGGAAGCGTACTGTGAGCAAATTAATGTTGTAAATTAAAAATCATGCCCGCATAAATGGCACGTACCTTCTCTGGCAGAATTATTTTATGTTGTCTATGTGATGTTTTACAGCTTAACAGACGTGAGTAAAAATTCAGGTCGGAAAGGGATTGTCATGACCATTTTGGAGATACCATTTACTACTACAGGAACTTGATAGTAAGCTTTTACTGACTTGAAAATACTTCCATATCTTTAAGGATAACAATCAATTTTTTTAAAACGAGGAATAACGATTTAGGGCAGTTGTTTGATATGATTACTTATAACTTCTAGTTAGATGTTATACGTTGTGGTAATTTTTATGAACAACCATTTCTAAGTCCGGCGTGCGGTAACATTTTCTTTTTCCCCTTCTCACCTTCTTGGTTATCAACCGGACTGTTCTCGATAATATAGGTCATTATGTGTATGATGCGTGATGTTTATGGTTATACATCTCGATTCCGTGTTTGCTTGCTTGCCTCCAGGGACCTTGTAGGACATTGACTTAAAGTGCTGGTTTGATGTGTTCCTGACCGTGAATAAACGTCAATTATTGCTGAAAAACTCCATGAAGAGAAACAGCTAAGTCGTTTTGTATAGCGTGCAAAAAGTTTTGAATGTCTCGTATTAAATTATATCAAAACACAAACTCTGTGCTCGACTTGAATGGCTTTATTCCAAGAAGGAAAACAAATAATATCAAAAGTACAGAATACCTCCAACGGTACAGTCTGCTCCACACAGTAAAATGTTTCCCTAGTACAAAATATCGTGCTAAACAGCAAAGAGAATGGTTAGTCAATATGTGTTCTGTAGCTGGGAATCAACTAGAACATTCTTAACAATATGGGATAAAATCTTTATTTTCAAGGACTCGAATAACCGTTTTCATCGGGCCGTCAAATATCAACAAGCATTAATTGGATCACGCTGTGACCTTGAGTTTAGTCAAACACGACTCCATTGGCAATGACCTGGCAACATGAAACAGTAAAATTATGTGATACATGCAATTCTTTAACAAAATCCAAGTAATAAAACCCCAGGCAACGAAGACTGACAACTGTAAAATGTGGTTACAAGAGACATTATTAAAAGTAAAATATAAGACAATGAAAAAAAACAAGAAAATAGCAACGCTGTTCAGTGAAACACTTTGGGGGGATTTTCAGCATATTATTTTGTTACCCTAGGTACCGAAATCCCTCTACCTTCATACGGATAATTTTGAATATATTAAGCCATTGCCATACTAGCTAACTTTCCTACCATAATGGGAAGTGCAGGACTTATAGCAACTACGCCTGTATACCTATAAACTTGAACGACAACCAGCGGTTATTCAGTTCCCTCCCTAAGACAAAGCCCGAACACTTCCCTTCTTATAAATCCTTCTTCCGTACTTACCGTTAATGTTCTTACAAGACCATCTCCATCGACCTCATACTTATCCACTAGCTATGAGCTGAGAACAGTAAAGTCGTTAGCCACCAGCACTATACCATCTAACCAAAAGTTTGCGAAGCCATTTCTGTCTCACTTGCAGTAACAGAACCTATTCTTTCATTCACCGACTCCAGTAGGTATTAAGTACACAGTTTGCCTATCTCTATCGTTCTGAGTACCTGTCCGTAATAAAGCAAATAATCCTCAAATTACCAGTCTTTTAGTAGTAGCAGGGTGTTGGGTGTGAGCATCAATTCATCGTTCTCATCAGATGTCACAGGAACGATGGAATAGTTATACGACATTCTGTTACCACAAGGTAAGCTGATAAACTGTCATCGTGTAGGACTTGTTTGTTATAAATGGCTAGCGGGATCCTTTGGACATGACTTATCAGTTTGTACCAAACTCCTAACTAGTGCGATGTTGAAATAGCAATGTACCTCGTGTGATGTTGTGAAAACGTTTATCCTATGTTTGTTCCAGACACTCATCATTTCTTAATTGAGACGTTGCCGAGACATAATAACGATTTAGAGAGATTTATAATTTCAGCCTCGTTTTTTTATGCTTCCCGCTGTTCCACTGATAACCAAAGCGCAATGTACAGAGAAAGCTTATCCTCCTTCCTCGTTATTTTGACTTGGAACGACATCTATCCTAACTTGTTGTAGAATTTTGAAAAGGAGACGCTGTCAGCAACATCATACGCTAAAGCTACGGACAGTGAAAATTCCGAATATTTGAAAGTTTATTGATTTCGATAAGTTATATATTACCACTGAACAATCTTTTAAACCTGTTACATGGTATTTCCTTCACAATAAGGAAGAGACGGAAAGGTCGCGTGGGTGTTGTCAGGGATAAAAAATGGAGTACGTTTTTGAGTAATAGGTTATAAGGCCCTAAATCTTTCGTTTGTGTGTCTATAAGAATACAGGGAAGGGATACGAGGTAAACTAAATTCAGCCAATTATATTCAAAGCAGACGGATATGAAAATATCTTACACAAATCTGATAATAGTTATGAACGTTGAATGTAAATTTTGATCGGAGCTTTAGGAAAGATAAGCCCGATGGAATTCCATTATCACAAACATGGTGAAATCTTACATTTTTCCAAATCGCTGATTGATTTTGTGTTGACGACTGCGCTGTTGCCCCGTCTTTGCTTTTCCACTGACCGAATACACTATCTTTGGCAATACTACTGGTGACTTGGCGGAGAAATAATATTCTGCCTACCATTGCCTTGCCATTGTCTGAACGGCGTTATCAGAGCAGAATGCCCAACCCGTTCCCCCATATCTTCAATACACTGTACAAAGTAGGAGTGTTTTATAATTTCCTGGAATCCATTACTAAATATGTAGCACTTTTAAAGGTGTTTCAACACCATTTTCAACTTTACTCACCTGGTGTTTTAATTAGTCTTTTCACTTATATTTGCCTCCATTGTATCAAATGTACTCGCGAGCGATGTTGTTGCATACTTCTCGTTACTAGGATCACCAGATTTTCGTGCATGTTTTGCAGTCATACTATTCAGAGAAGTTTCGTGGAATTAAAATCGCTTGTGGACTATACAAATCGAAGAGAATTCGGTAAGACTGCATGTCACGAACATCAGAGCGTTTCGGACAAGCTCACGGCCCAGCGATCTACTAAAGCTCTAATAGCTGACACACCAGTCAATTGTCGCTCTGTCTATCTACTTCGACTTAATTGTTCCGGCCGACTTGTTGCTGCGGCACACGGAGATCGCTCTGTTTGTGTTTATTGCGCTTCCACTGGCCGACTACTGTTAAAATGCATTGGTCATGAAAAATCACCTTGGACACTAACTGTAAGTCATACTTTCAATAAGTACTGTTTAATTAGAACTGGGTTTTGGGTAAATGTTTCCGTGTGAAGCTCTGTATTAAGAAATGGTAAGAATATGCTCGACCTCCACTTTGGGGAAACTGCTATAGAAACATCTGTGGAAATGGTAAAAAAAAACCAAAACTTCCATAGATCTAGGAAGTTCCCCAAAACTTGAGGAAAACCCGAAAGTAACGAGACTGAGTGGGTTTCGTTCACCTAATGGTTATTTCAACCCCAATATTAGAAATGATTGATCCTGTCATGGCAACTAAATAAGCCACTGGCAGTTAAAACTAGGTCCCGTTCCTGGCTGCCTAAAGTGAATCTTTCGGTTTAGCACTGCGTCGAGTTTAGTAGTCAAACTTCTGTTATCCTAGTCTTTGAGACGTGAGTTTACGTAGTAGGAGCTCCTAATAGTTCTAGTGGGTTGTAACTGACCCTGTCATCGTTCTCGACTTGTGAGCTGTATTCATAGCTCGGTGATCATGTCACGATTTAAGACACCTATATACCATGAACTGCTGGCCGCACAGCCAGTTTTATATTTCTGTATTTATAGAATATCGTGGTACTTGAGGTAGTCAGTAAGCTGTGTGGATTCTCCAATTACTGTTAGAGCGGCTAGGTCTTATCACTAACTTCTACAGTACGAGGTTATCGGGCGCAGATGCATCCACTCTTTGTGTTCCCCCAAATTCTAATATTCTGAATTATGTGTCCTTTTTTCTCTTTCCAAATTTATTTCACTGTATTATACTCCTTGGATAACATCTTCAAACCCTAATGTTTCCGATTACTGCTTATACTCTTACTACCTCTGCCACTATAGGATTTGAATCGACAAATGCATCTCTGCGCTAATGTGATATGGCAACTCGAATTGATGTACGCGCGTACGAAGTTCTACGTTGTTACTGACTGACCAGTATTCCAGCTACATTGTTAAGACGTATAGTTTTCAAGTCTTAGCTGCAATTTTACCGCTGTCATGGAATAAATTAGTCGAGAACGTTGCTTCTTGCATAATTGCCCACCCTAGTCAAAGTTGAAGCAGATTTTTAAGTTCACTTGACCGCTTGGTTGGTGACTGTATCGCTCGTTTTTTGTACTACACGTTAACTCGCTACTAAGTTTCTTAGACATGAGGTACTCAATTTGATCTTTCTAATGTAAATATCTTGTTCACTGTTTTCGGCTCCTAGAAGTTCACATCTTACCTGAGAATCAGCTTTCATTAACTAAAGTCATAATCTTAGCAAAGCATATCCCTCTCTAAAATAGACAAATCCAACCTACTTGACTCGAGTCCGTTTTAGCAAGTCCTAAAGGTTGGGGTCATGAAAATCCACATTCCTGACAATACATCAGTGAGTCAGCTAGCTGTTGCGCGCTTATTCCACTTAAAGGGCCTAAGCACATTTTACTGCGTTATCCAGGTTCAGAAATGTGTTCACATCTGATGTTGATAAATTTAATCGTTTTTGATGGTCAGTGATGTGAGTCTGGAGAAGAGGAAAATTGATTACGAATACACTGGTCTTGAGTGCTGTTAGATGTATAAGGACGGTCATCACTTCCGGGCCGCCCACACCGTGGAAGTGTTCTTCCAGAGGTACCTGAAGAGGAAATCGGGTTAGGGGTGGTCTTAGTGACCTGAGAATCTGACCGCAGTGCTCAAGGGGTAACTGCTTGAGGCCGGTCACACACGACCTTTTTGTGAGTAATTTTCGTGTTACCTCTGCACTTGTTAAGACCTTACCGCCAGAGACGGAAATCCATGGGATAATGTGAGGTGTAGATTTTTAGGGTCGACCTTTTCTAACCCCACCCTTCGTTGTGAGAAGGCAGCATCGCTGTTACGCTGGTTGCCTGAAATAAACACCTTACCGCCATCACACCTCTGTACAGTCAACAGTACGACTTTGCCTTGGGTTTGGTACTTTTATTCTTATCGCTCTTCAAACGACCTGTTTGGCATGGTGAGACCCTGAGGAACGATTGTTCTAGCTAGTATATTCCTATTGGTTCATCACAATAGGCAAGCCCGACCACGACGTCAAGATAACAGTAGCGTTCGGAAGTCTAGGAAGTTCATCTGTTGGAACGTGTTCAGTAGTGGGTAGAATGCGAGTCCAACGTATGGTTTCATAACTATACTGTCGTGTCGTATTTAACGTGTTGTCCTCCATTGCCACTGACTTAAGTTAAAAGCAGACAACAAGACAGTTAATATATCTTTCATGATTTTACCAAAATACAAACTAGCAAACCGTATTTTGTCTAGTTCCTATAGAGTGCTAGTCGTCCCTCATAAAGGATTTATAACAAATCAATGTGCAATCTCTGACATCCTAGTAATTTGATTTTTATTCATTTTGCAGAACAAGTGGTCAAATGTTGGGATAAAATCATTTATAAATGCTCACCAACCTGATTAGACAGTCAGTTGCTCGAAAATCTAAATACCAGTGTTCGCAACTGACCAGTTGATATTGTTATAGCTTCAGGGGAAAATTAATTGTTCAAGGTAACGTGAGCTCATATTATTCATCGGAGTGACTGCCTACTAGTTGGCAACACTAAACTGTGTTGTACATTCGGATCCCAACTAACACTGATTAGAATGAACAAAGTAATATTACTGATCAAGCGCAACTTAACCAGTTACACAATCCTAGATTCGGTTGTTTATTTGTGTTGGGTTATTTCTGAATTTGCAGTAAAAAGTTTTGGTCCCAAAATACTACATTTAGTTATAATCAAGCTGCCTGATACGGAATATGGAACACAACACTTGATTATCCCTTTATTGTTTCATACCCGATTCCCTTTATTATATTAGAGAGCAAAAATAAAGGTTGGTTCAAAATAATGAGTTCATTTTATTTCGTCAGGTTCTTAGCTGCTTGCAATCTATAATATTTTAAAATCAAAATTACAAATATTGGCATACTTATAAAAACGAGGGTGATTAGAAATAAATATGTATATCATGATGTAGTGGAAATTCCAACCGAGTTAGTAAGGTCATAAAGATTTTTGTTTCAAACAAATAAATAAAGCTTAAGGGAGGGAAAGTTCCAGAACACCGAACTAATGATCAACACTTATAGAGTTAACAAACATCAGATGATTGTGTAATAAAGTAACTGAAAACATTAATGGTAATCAAGAAAGATATGAGTTGAATTGTCAGTCATGAATTAAAGAAGAATGACAAAGACGTATTCAAAACTTCAAGAGTTGAAATAACGAACAATGCAATAAAAAGGATGTTTCAGTTTTCCTGTATTTACTTGAAACCTGAGGAACGTCTAAAATATGACCTAGTATTTCCGTTTTAAATCCTATTACCTTGTATAAATCTCTTTTTAAATAGTTTCATCCAACACAACCCTTCTTGCTTGCGAGTGGATGCCTTGGTGGCAATGTACGGCTTTGGAATTTAGAGCATTTGGCAGTACTTGGTGATGAAAAAATCGAGGGCATTGTGGAACTATCATCTGTATGCGTTTGGAAGCACACGGGTGCAATCGCATCCCTTACTTTCCATCCAGTTCATCCCATACTAGTAGCAGCATGGTAAGAGATTCCTAAATGTTGATCTTTTAGTCTTCTTTCTGTAACTTCGTATTTACTCATTTGCAGGGGCTAATTTTCTTGTTACCTGTTTGATAGCGTCAGAACTTTAAAGCGGTATTGTTTGGTTGACTAATTTTTTCAACTGGATACAGAACTTTAGTACCCTAAGTGAAAACATTTCGCTAGTAGTGTTTGAAATAAAGGCTATAAGAAACTCCTAATGTTGTTACATAACATATCCTACTCAGAAAAACCCAGTTCTACCGAAATTTGGATGTTGCACTAGCGTTTCGGTTGCGAAAGTTCCTTTGGAAAATCATCTTAGTTAATGACAATATAGTAATCAATTATTTACACACCTAAATGGACTATAGTCTGTTCTCTACTCCATTCTTTAAAGTCTAGAGCACACTGTTCACGTTTATCGATGTGGCAGATTCTTAGGTGAGCCCACGAATGGAATTCGGTATATAATATCCTGTCCCCAACTAAATTCCTAGTTTTTTAATTTCTTACTCGAGTTTACCATAAATTTCTACCTTAAAGTAGCTTTTTCTTGTAACAGTTAGATTTGTGTTTAACAGAGAATTAATAAACTTCTTCACCTATAGGACTCAAGAAGTGGTCTTTTATGATTGGGTATCTGGCCGGATACTTTCGGCATGGCGATTTGTATCGAATCATTCACGCGTAAGATGGGTGAAATTCGCCCCTGATGGAACAGTCTTATACACAGCAACCGCCAATCCATCCAACAATGAATCAGTTTATGTACATAAGCAATCTGATCAACCAGTGGTTAGGAGCCCAACAAAAGTAGTAGCTACCAAATACCCGAAAGAACCATCTTATATCCAAGTGGATCATGGTATGTGCTCATCAACTTAACAATCGCATTATTTATCTTATCAGGTTCCACTTTGATACACTAATGTTTCGTCATAATTTTTCATTCTAAACAATCGTATTCATTGTCCTTAAAACGTAATCCTATATTGGTCGTTGCTTTTAAAACTTTCTATGATAATTAGTGTATTTTTATCTTATACTCTAATGGTTAGTGTAGTTGATACAGACTTTTTTGTGCAGTTGTAGCTGCCGCCTTGATTTGATGTTCCGGCTTGCATTTCTCGATGACCTAATCTGGAAATTGGGACGCTTTTATCTCTAGGCCCCATCATCCCGAACAAGTTAGTTGAAAAGTAAAACTAAAAGCAGCAAATTCCTCTGAAGTAAATTTGTACTGCGGACTGTATAAGTCTATAACAACAGCAAGGTGTTTCGCTCAGACAAACTATCTCCAACCATACTCACAACTGAAAAAGGGATTTAAAAGCTCTACTCTATACATGACACACCACGTTTCTTCATTTATTTTCATCTTCGGGGTTAAGTCCTTGAAAATACGGAGCTAACTCATCTGAGATTACTCGAATAAGGGCATGTGCATCCGGTTGCCTATGTTCATGCCAGCGGGTCTCCAAGACTATTCTTAACTTTGTTTCGTCTTCAGATACCTCAAAAAGAAGTATCCTTCTACATTGTGAGCCACTGCGAAGTAGTGGACTCCTTCATGGCGCTAACAGCACGCTAAATCACTGCTTTCATTATCAGACCCCACATTTATTACCGAATATTTCTGTTTCCACTATCGTCCCTCATTTACCACTTATTCCTCATGTACAACCAGTACTAACGATTCGAGTTCACGAATTGCTATTCGAATCCCATGTCGAATTGAACAACAGTCGTCACTTACGAAGACCTTAGGATCTCGTGTCATCAAGGTATGCAGTGTCTCCTGAAACACTCATACATGATCCTAGCGTTGTCATTTACTCGACCTCACATGGGCTCCAGTATCCTGAGGGGACAAATGGCGTATGAACCATTCGTTGGTCACCGGCTACCATGGAACTGCATCTCCTCACGATGCTCCACTGCCTTGTGGATCAGACCTTTAGGTCAAAGGCTCCATGTGTGACCCCCTAAGAAAACCACCTGCTTCGGTTTGGGCACCCGGGCAGTATCACAGCCCTCGCACAAATCAAATGAGATTTGTGTGGCGCATATGCATTTGGTGCCTCCTTGTACCAATATCTATATGTTCAAATAAATAATTAAACGACCTCACTCGGCCACTATGAGGAGCCAATAGAATATACCACATGCGCATCTGAAGACCTGACATCAATTTGTGATCTTAACCGTGTAGGTATAACACTCTAAAAACAGAACATCGACTTCTTGATTTAGTTCATATCAATAGTTGCTTATGTGCTGTTCGTTTTGATAGCATGGTAAAACTTTGAAAATATGGGGGTACACCGTTGCCTCTTCATAGTTTTTGCCCATGGTCGCACTGTCTGCAGTAAAAGATGAATTTTGCGGGTAAACCTTCAGAAAGCCAGGCTCTCATGTGGCAATATTAGCATGTGATTTTAACGCAAAGTCTAACTGGCAGATAACCGTGACCGTTTGCCGCAATTATGCTCAAATAATTGCTTATTCCTACGAAAGTACAAACTCCAAGGATGAGAAAAGACAATCTAACCTGGTATCCCTCAACGTCAATACAATAGATATAAATAAGCGATATATCCATGTGCTCTCGTTAGAGAGACTTAATACAAGACCACTTCTACTGGAGCACATGTTCGGGCTCTTATCATGCCGTGGTAAAAGCACGCATTTTTGCGCTCTTGACCGGACGTGAATTCACAACAAAAAGACCCTCTAAATATCAATTGAAGGATGAAAAGGTCAAAAATGCATTCACAAAGGGATTGGCTAAAAATCTGGTCTATTGTAGAAAAACGGTTGGTTCTGCAGATACTTGGAATAATGTTCAGGCAGTTGTAAATAAAGTATTGCATCTATCAAGTGCTCAAACCAAAGCATTTCGAAAGATTAGTGAATTTAGGTGGCATCCACTGAATTGTTTGAGGCTCAAAAGCTCATCCCAACAAGCTCAAAAAGTGATGAAGTGACAACTCAAACGCCAACTAACAGAAATTTTGTGTAGTGATCGTGAGCAGTGATTGGCAACAAAATCAGAAGAAACGGAAAAGGCTGGGGCGATTGGTAAATTTAGACGACTCTACCTACTGATCGAAGAAATAGGTGGTAATAACTCGAGAATTATTTAGACTATCTAAGGAATAAACTTGACCATTTTGCGCCCTCAATCCAGGAGACAAGACCAATGAGCAGAACACTGTAAGGAATTGATCAAATGCCCTCCAGCTACCCTTCAATTACCAACGAATTTCCTTAACTCTTAATGAGGTTGGGAATACTGTAACTTATCAAGAGAGAGAAAAACATATCATGATTAATTAACTCCAGTAGTGGTCCAGGTTTAGCTGCTGAACTATGGTTCTGCTCAGTTTTGTGATTCCACGCGATCCTATCTGATTAGTGACTGGAAGTGAAGTAGTTGAGTGTATTGACCATTACATTTATCTTGGAAGTCTGATCAGGCCTGAAGGGTTGCTTACTTACTCCTGTTACCCCTAATGGAGGAGTATAGGCCGCTCACCAGTATTCTCCACTCAACTCTGTTCTAGGCAATCCTCTCCAGTTGCTATTCATGCTTATCATGTCTGCTTCCGATTCCCGACGCAGTGTGCTCTTTGACCTTCCTCTTTTTCGTTTCCCTTCAGGATTCCAGGTTAGCGCTTGCCTGGTGATGCAGTTTGATGGTTTCCTCAACGTGTCCTTATCCACTTCCAACGTTTTTTTCTAATTTCCTCTTCAGCTGGAAGTTGGTTTGTTCTCTCCCACATTAGGTTGTTGCTAATGGTATCCGGCCAACGGAAGGGTTAGGGTGTCTATATTGCTCCACAATTCACTCTGTAAAACATGGACTTTGAAAGTAGAAGACTTGTAAGCTGCAATTTTATTAATCATAGGTGTCTTCAAAGCATTCCTGGTGATTTTTGGAACAACTTAACGAAAAATATGTAGGTTGGGCATTTGGTCATAGCTAAAATGTCAAATTGGTTGGTGAGTTTTGTTATGACTTTATGTCCGGCTTTTTATCACGTGATTTATCCACCAATTAAAATACGACTTATACAATCTTAGCACTGCGCCAAACCAATGACGTTCGACCGATATGAGCAGCCTAGCGTCTTATTTAGTCCTATGTCTGCCTAGCCGGTCCACTTAAGTCCAGAACACAATACCAGCTTCTGCAATATGAATCATTTATTTCAAGCATGCTCGGTTTATATATCAACCAGATAAACCACAACGTACCATAAAATAGAAAATAACATTTGTACAGTATTTGACCAAATGTGGCTGTGAACGTGGGAGTCAACAGTCAATAAACTGAACATAGCTTAAGAACCGCAAATCGTTCAATAATAAATTATAGGTCAAAATAAAGCTTATAATAAGAGGAATATAAATATACATAATCTAATTGTTGGATAGTTATACCATAAGAATATATAGATAATATTAGTCAATTAATGTCTCAGAAGTTACTCGTGATTTAATCTTCGCTCGGATATAACAAGTTTTGCAAGTCTTCATTTATTGAAGTGGTTAGAACATGTGGAGTAGGGTATATTGCATGTAATGTAACCATAATGTGTCGCTCAGTGCATCTTTCTCTTCATTTAGTTGTTATGTAAGGTATTTTGTAAACTTTATAAAATAGTTTACACTTCAGCCCAAAAAGTCGCAACATAAGAGAGTCTTTATACCACACCTTAACTTAAGAGCCGCCTTGCACCATGTTGGTTTAATTGGTGGTAGGTTGAAAAGTTTAATACTTTGGTTTGTAGGTAGGTTTTATTTCAATAAAACTGTTTAAGACCCTTTAAAGTCCCAACCGAAGCTGCTACCTTGACGCGGTGGTCGGGCTTGCCTATCGTGATGACCCAACCGAGCTATGTTGGCTGGAACATATGTTCCTGCAGGTTCTACCATGCCAGGCAGGTCGATTGGTGAACGGTAAGACTAAAAGCAGCAACTCAAGGTCTGAGGGCGAAGTCGTACTGCTGACTGTAGAGAGATGTGACAGCAGTAAGGTGTTTCCCTCGGACAACCAGCATGACAGCGATGCTGCCTTCCCACAAGGAGGGGTGGGGTTAGAAAAGGTCGACCCTAAAAATGTCACACCTCACCTTACCTCACGAATTTCCGTCTCCGGCGGTAAGGCCCTTTGAAGAACGGAGCTAACACGTCAAAAACCTTCCACAAAAAGGCCGTGCGCGACCGGCCTCAAGAAGTTGTCTCTTGGGCTCTGCGGTCACGCTCCCAGGTCGTTAAGATCAACACTAAGCCAATTTCCTTTTCAGGTTCCTTAAGAAATACCCTTCCACGGTGTGGGCAGCCGGGAAGTGACATCAGCCCTCATACCCGTAACAGCACAAGAGACCAAGGTGGTCACATTCAAATCCTTCCTACACCTCATAATACCTCTCTTATCTCCATGACTAACCCTCCTCACGTCTCTTTATCACCTCGCACCGCTAGAGCAAACGATTCGAGTACGTGGAACGCTATTCCTGGTCTCCTGAAACCACGCTCTAAACTACACGTAGGAGCTTTTAACGTACGAACACTGTGCCAAATAGGACAGCAGGCTTCCTTAGCTAAAACTTCAGAATCTCGCGCCATCGATGTGTGCTGCGTCTCCGAAACGCGCATACAGGATCCAAGTAGCGTCATTCATTTGACCTCACCATGCCAAAATAAAGAACCGACTCGATTTACGCTTCGTGTATCTGGAAGCCCTGATTCTGCTTCCCGTGGCCTCGCCGGCGTAGGTATAGCATTGAGTCCTAGGGCAGAACTAGCTCTCTTAGAGTGGATCCCAGTAGACAGTCGTTTGTGCGCTGTCCGACTGAA